TTGGCCCTGAGATTTTAGCAGCCTCTCCCGAGCGGTCCTACCCAACGCTGCCGTATTGGGCGCTCCCTCAGGTTCAGGGGAATGAGGCCCATTTCTATTACTGTTTTTGGCGTGAAGATACCCAACGTGCAGCTTGCCAGGCTCTGACGTGGGGGCTATTGACTCCGGGGGCTTGCCAGGCTATCCCGAAGTGGACAAGGGGCTTTGTTTTTGGAGGCGGCCCCGAATCGCCTCCCAGATACTTCCCAGTGTGACTTGATCGTCACTCGAATGCAAGCTTTTGGCCGAGTCGATGGGCAGGATACCAACTGCACTCACAGACTCTCCACACACGTATGCGTGGATCGCCTGCGAGGAACAGAGGGTATATCGACCCAGCACAGCAGAATCAAGGAGTCCATCCCCTGAATCCACCTGCGTGAAATGAAATGACTTTCAGAGCAATGCCTCCAGACCTGAGGGTTGTGTGCATGTTTTTTACATAGTTTAACTGCTATATCCTCTCGCAACCCTTATCGATGCATCAGGTCCTATCTTCGCCTCTACAGCTTCTTAAAAATGCATGACCTCTTTGAGCTCCATGTTACAAAACCCTCCCAGTTCTTTCAGACAAAGGTACCTTCTCTATCCATCTCCTTCTTTGTTCTGTTTTCTCCAGCAGGGCGAGAATGGAACTTTGGGGTCCCAAGCAAGACGGTAAGAATAGAAAGAAAGGACCGGCCCCAAACCTTTCAATCAAGTAGACCCTTCTTGACAACTGAAACGGCTTTCTCTTTGAGTACATTCAGCGCACTTTACGTAAACTTTCAATGCGGTTCTGTCAACAATGTCTGTTCAAAAGATAAGATTACTTGTTAAACTCACTCTAGATCATTGTCGATAGCAACACGAGAGCAATGCCAGTACCGCTCAACAACACCAGGACGATCTTCAGAATTTCGTTTCACACTTGCCAAAACCGTTCGATCTATTCGGAACTCATTCTGCAACCGACAGCCCTTATACTGGTGATCGAACATTTCATTTACAATACCACCTACATATCCGTAACTATGTGCATGATGCTTTTATGCATTCTCAACAGTGAAAAATAAATAGAAAATGCAAGGCCTTATCATGAATATGATTGCACCAAATCCACTAAAGAAGCGGGATCCTGCCCTCTCTACTAAAGAATCGCATAATCAAAGTAGGCCCGAGCAAACTTGGGAAATAGGAATACTAATGAAATTAAGCAGAAATAAGCACGATTACGGATTTGACAAATCTACAATGGCGCTTTCCTCAATTGCGCTCAACATTGGATGTAACCCTTCCGAACGCTCCGCGACCGCACGCGGCAGAGATACCGCATTCTTTTAATTATACGCACATTAATTGCATAAACACTCACAAAATCTATAGTGATCTTGTATACATCTTTGATGCCATGTCGTTGTTCGTTGATAATTTCGTTGAAGGCTCTACATGTCGTAGCTAGCGAAAGGATTGTCGTCATTGGTAACAGTTTAATAATGCGTATGAGAACTTCGTTAGGAATATAGCGTAATGGACAGTTCTGAATATATCTGAATATTTACGTTACTTCTTTAATACTTTAAAAAAGACAGCAAAATCAGGCAATGTAGCTGACCCTACCTCGCATTCAGAAGTTTACTCACACATTTTCTATTACCTACAATCTTCAATGCGCTACTTTCTGGAAAGACGAAAGCCTCTCATAATACTAATTATTCAACTACATTTTGAACGAATCAATATTGATTTTCAGAACTCTCAGTTAATGACTATAAAATACGATATAATACGATAATTTACACAAGATGCCGCATTCCTTAGCCAAATGTTACCATTGATAAGGCAGCTTATAAAAGTTGGGCTTAATTGGAGTCAAGGCATATCTATATTGGCTCGATCGCTTGTTCTGTCTGAACTCCAACGACTCAGAAGTAACGTCCAGAAGTTCGCAATGTTTGCTGTGAAAGCTTATTCACCGGAAGATTGATGTAACTCCTACCCTAGCTATTTCGGGCTTTCAGTCCGTGTAAAGAAAAGCGGAAAAGGGTGGTACACAGCGGCGGATGTTTACAAAAGGTCACTGAGAGCCAACTCATCGACCTGAGGAGGCTATCTACAGATATGGTAGATTCTCAGATCTAAACGCAGGATAAACGATTTTCGTATGCACAGTCTGACATGGTACGGATTTCCTATAATGTACCGCGGTGTGATCTGATTACGCATGCGATCCTTCCTCATGGCTAGTGCTGAGAGGCAATGCTTACAATGATGGATTGGATTTCAGTGCGAAAAAAAAAACGGTAAATGCGGCTATTTCAAAAACAAAAATAATACCTTGGGGAGCTTCGCAAGCGACTCATCCAGCATTGTTAAAGATGTACATATTGATGGGGGAGGACTCTTTTTAATTTTATTCTGGAGCACCAGCTCGGAAACCTGTCCTCAGAAGACAGTAATTATGAAAAAAAAATTCGATGCTAACCAAAATTTACCTTATCTACAGCTTCAGCCGAATTCTTCACACAATCACGTTCATAGTTCATTATAACATTTCTGCAAAGCTAGTTTTCGGGAGCAAAGAAAATCAGTACCCAAGAAAATGATTCTCACGTACACTCTCGGGTCGTTCTTGAACACTGCCATTTTCCTAATGTCTAGTTGAAACTAAAAATGAGGCTTTTTTATCTTGACACTAACACCGGGCTTATGGCTCGTGTGATGGCAACGTAAGCAGAATGAAGAGGTTGCTCACAAATACGTCATTTCATCATCTACTGCATTTATGTGAACATAGACTAGTTTTTTTCTAAACAATGACTATCAATCCTCACGGTTTGACGATCCCTATAGAACCTACTCAACTCACCTTCGGTTCATCATCTGAGTTTTCAAGCGTTGTAAGTATTTTAGCTAAAGTCGTCTTAGAGAGTGAGCCAGTGCTGGTAGACACCTTTCTCCCTAAATAAATTAAAGCTCTCCAATGGGCAATAAGTAACAAATAAGCTTTCTACACGGTGTTGCTGTCAGATAAGGTATGGTTCCGTTTAGCTGGTTTCATTTCTCTTCACTAAAAAAAAGTCTACCCAATAGAAGTACACTTCTGTTACTTTTGTCAATAGACTCTCCATACTACTTTTTCGAGAGTGAAACACATGGTTGGATGGTACAGCAGCCTACAGCAAACTCAACGCCAACCTAATCAAGTGAACACGGGGGACACCAGCAAGACACCTTATACAATGTAGGCGTAGCACATATGTACCACTACCATTTGGGATAACTATTTAGTTACAGATTGGCGAGGCTGTGCCAAGAGGAATTCGCGGTTTGAAGCCCACCAAGGCCCTTGCCGTTATGCTTCTTTCACAATGAAACCTACAATAGGAGATTCTATGACCTCATGATGGGCCGCTCATATCTTTGTATGGTGCTACTGTAAAAGAGTCTGTAAGGAATTCCTATTCTTAATCTTAAGGTTATACCACAGAAGAATATGGCAAATGATGTCATTTTGCCAGTTTTTNTTTTTAGAGTGCCCGTTCCAAAATATAGGTTTAGATAAAAGGTAAACTTGATTTATCGACGTTGTCAGCGAAATCCTTCAAACTCTTTCGGAACTCGACCGGTCCTTCGAAATGTCAAAAATATGAAAACCCAAACTAAAACCTAGGCTACAACAAGTACTCTGGCACACTTAAGAAGCTGGCAGAGGAAGTAAACACAGTTTGATGCACGGTGCTTGGTTAGAGTCTCAATTTGAAGATTGCATGGAGAGTTAGCAAGTTTGCCAAGTAAGAGCAAAAGCTCTGTTAATCGCCTTAATACAAATACCGCGTGGCTCAGTTTCTGACAACCTTCGCCTCCGCCAATGAAAACCACGCTTACACAAATTCGATACATTTGAGAAAGTTACTTTTAACAATTATAGCAATACCACACAATAACAACATTTAATTTGTTGAGCAAAACGTTTCTTTTCCAAACGATTAGAACAACTAAACATATGAATTTAACCGAATTAAAATCTTTGCAATGATCACAAAAGTATCTTTATCACATATTATTGTGTAACCTCTTCATTCTGAATATAGACTGTGGTTTTGAGGTTGACGGTTGCGTGTCGGTTGCAGAAATATCGTCTGTTGGTATTACTGGAAAGAAAACTAAATAAAGTACACAAACCTGATAGCAATTTCAATGAGCGAAGTAATAATGGGCTAAACCGAGGGGCAAAAATGCATTATTATTACTTGAGAAGCTATTTACCTTCCACATTTCGTTCCTTGAAGACGCCACTGAAGGCTTCTTTAGAGCCAGGTAGTATAACCTTAGAAGGACCAGTCAATTTGGTGATTTCATCCTCATTTATGGGAGATTTTTCCTCAGCATTTAGAAGGATTGATGATTTTGTTGACGACGACGTGCCCGTAGGCTCAAAGCTGCGAGTTTCAGATGGCTGCAAAAATAAACTTTGATGTAAATGCTGAAATGAAGCCAATCCAAAACAGAAAATCACAATAGCTCGCTTATGCATAAGTACCACCACAATCAGAACTAAAAGAGACTTCATACAACATTATATCCTTCGAATCATTGTAAGTGGACAATATACTGGCCATGATAAAAATACGTGTACAGTTATCGGTTTGAAAACGTACTACAGTGCTAAGAAAGTATGTACGACGAACCGGTGCTTGTGAGTCGATTACTGTCGAATTTTCCAGCTGCTCCGCAAACATCACAGTCTTTTTCTTTTTCGATCTTTTCTTCTTTCTGTTTCTCTTCTTTTTCACATTACCGTTTTCACTTTCGGCAGGAGCTCGATCACCTCCACCGTCATGTTCCACCAATTCTTCTGTTTCGGAGGAGCTGATGCTTTCGGAAACTAATCTTTTCTCTTCCTTTGGTGGTGCCCGATTGGCAAATGAGCTGGAGGCTGTTGGTACAGCATTGGGTCCCAAATTCTGTGCGACAAATCTACCAATCGTTACGGGTTTGAAGTTTGTCCGTCCATTCTCCGTTTCTGGTTGACTTAGATCGTCCGAATCCAACTCGGATCTACAGCAGCAAAATTACAAACGAGTTTCGACACCGTAATTTTCCATAACATACCTCTCAGCTTCTTCTTCTACACAGTTATCTCCCTCGACATCCCCTTCGACCCCGCCTTCTTCAGAAATACGATCACTATTGGTGTCGTCACTGTTGATCTCATCAACCACTTTGAGGAGCTTCTGGAAGTCCTACAACGAGCGCTTATAAAACAGTGAAATCTGCGTTTGAAAACTGAAAAATTCAATGGCGTTTTTAAGAATAAGTAAGGCCATTACTGTATATGAAGCACCCGCCTCAGCCTGTTTGTTTGATTGTTGCGAAATTCAAGATTACCAAAAGAAGTACCCAAAGAGATTGAATCAAGTTGGGTTGATTGGCGTATTGGGCAAGATCAAAAGAGCACATGTAGGTTCAGCTGCGCACTACCTACAAAGTGCGGGCATGTACCTATGTGGACGATGACGCGGGAAAACTTTCTACCTTGGCCAAGATCAAACCAGAAAAAAGGACAGAGGTGAAAGGAGGGTTAGCAAATGAAGCGAAAAATTTCAACAACAGTGACCAGGGTGTCTTTAAAGTGAGCGGTACTTCATAAACTCAACTTTGACTTTGAGGCAGTTTGGGAGTCAGAACAAAGTTATAACGCTAAGATCAGAAATTCACAATACTGCTCACGAATGTTCTCTGTTCTTCCGAACCCATTATCGTGTTTTACTTTGACTGGCTTCAAGCTAAAACTAAAGAGAACAACCTTTGGGTCTACTCCACGGGGTGGCTGACTAGCTTGTCCTTCTTCAACGTAATCCTGACTTTGCTCTGCTAACGCTTTGATAAGATCTTCCTAAAGAGTTGAATTCACTCATTCCTTTCACCAATAGAGCAAGTGTCAAAGTACAACAAAAAATTCTTTCAGATATCTGCGACGGTCTGCTCACATGGGTTGTTAAATAAAAAAAAANAAAAAAAAACTGACCGAAGCAAACTGTAGAACACCTCTTACTAGGAAAGGTTGCATGAACCATTTAAAATGAGATGTATACGGTAACGTGAACGTTTCAAATGAATACTCCAAATCTGCGAAACGATACTGAGAACAAAGATACGTAAGCCTTTCTCTCTGCGGTACGAGTTCCTTCGGATATATAAGCACGCCAAGTCACCGAGCTCGCTATGAAGTAATGGCGCAGCTTGTACGATGACGGATTCACTGGCGCAGGTTTGCATCGTTGGTCTTCAAGGAAATAAGAGTTAAATTCCATATTGACTATCTGCAGCCCTCTGCCTTAAAATAAGCCGAGAATAGGCTTTAAAAAGGTATCCAGCCCTTCTCCGATCTCGCTTCCAATCCAATGAGGTAAAAATACAATAAAAAGCTATCGGTCTAAATGAATTTGCTCAATATAAGGTGGCTTTTTCTACTTAAAAGTCGCGTAAGATAAGAAACAGAAATTTTTCCCACAACTTCTGTGACACCATATTTTCGACAAAAGACGTCTTTGTTAGTCCGTTGCAAAACTTTCTTATCCAACTATCGGTCCTACTCCTTCCTGTCAAAGGGAAGCAAGTTTTGAGAACAGTATTTCCATATTACGAGGTGCCTTTCACGACAACTCTATGACTATTTCGCGTTGTCGAATATCACGTTCCTTCCTTGCTTCCTGCCGATAGCGACGAAGATGGCTCCAGCACACCTCGAGATGCAGGCTTTGAGGAGAGCAGAACGATTCAGGGCAGAGGCGGATCAATTCCTGATCGCAGGTGATGACTATAAGTTGGTGAAAGCTGCAGATAGTCAACATGTGGTGTAGGACTGCATCGCAGATACTTTGAAAAGGGGCAGACCAGCACATGCATCAAAGGCACACCCCAATGTCATGTTACGAGTCCAGACCCTAATAATTGCGCCACCGGACCACATTCAACATAGCAACACGACATGCCTACACGTTTCAAGGTATCCATATCGCACGGAGAGAATTTGTTTTCAAATTGAAATTGTCATTTTGAATTAAACTCAAGACAACCTTACTGCAGAGGTTGAAATCCCTGAAAATCAAAAATAAACTACAGGCTGATATACTTACACCACGGAACACACCCACAGAGAGGCCATCTTCTTCTACTGTTCTATCGATCACTTTAGCTTCATAAATCATTTTCTCCTGAACAACAGCTTAAAAAAATCAACTTTGCGGAATGCCAGCACTTACATCTCTACTTGAATTCACCTTTTCAGCCGGTTTGCCTGTTGACGCGATAGCAGTGGATTCCGAAGGAAGTGAAGCCTTCTCAGATATATCAGGTAGCAGATTCGAGGGCGATTCTTTTGCGTATACTTTTTCTTTAGAGACGTCCTGCAAAAAAATGTACGAAACATTCAAACAACGTGCTATGCGGGCTATAATGCTACCATTATTCTCTTTGCTTTCTCATCCTATAGAGAGTATCTCTTACAGTTGGAGAAATGCGTGTATGTGTAATGATCTCTGATGAAGCCTAGTGCTACTGCAATGTAACATTTACGATTAAAAAGGAACCCTCAAGGCTGAGTTGCTTATAATCTCATCCCCTTCCGACCAGCTATCTCTGCATTTGATCAATCAAGTAATCTATCTTTTGCGACTATGTGGGTGTGTGTGAGAGCGACTTTTGCGCTAACAATAAGTAGTGAAAATTACATTGAAAATTCAGTAACATACTAAATCGTTGGGTAAATTGTTCTTATGGTCGGTATCGTCGTCATCGGCGTCACTGTTGAGTTCCCCATTTCGTAGCTCTTGCTGCTCCAGTTCTTCTAGTCGTTTCATCATCTCGGCCTGGTTTGATAAAATTAACTCCCTCCCTATATAAGAGAAAAAAGCGAGATCAGCTACCTCAGCCTTAATATCAGCCACTGTCTTGGTAATAGGTCGCTTATCTGATTTTCTGGATTTACGTTTCTCTAGAACAAAAAAAAACCATGGAGGAAAATGGTCTACGTGAGCTATTACTCACTCCTTAACTCCTCTTCTTTTTCCTCATCATAATCTTCACGTATTTCCACTTCATCATTGTTACTCTGTAGAATAAATAATGTAAAAGTGATGCAGCGTGATCATGGAAAACTATTTCAGCTAAAAGTATCAGTCCTACATGTTCGAAGATTTCTTTGGCGAAAGCAATCTGTTTCGAGATTATGCCCTCATGTTCATGAAGATCTGCGATATTCTTTTC